GGGTTGGTTAACATTGAAAGATAGTTTGACAGCGCGATCATTTTAATCGTATATGGGTTTGGGCGACGAAAAATATCAATTGAAGGCAATTACATAGGAAATTTATATGGAAACCATTGATCGCCAGTCTATCAAATTTTCTTCACAATTAAAATATCACTGATTGCACGGATACTCGTAAAAATAAAGTCATAAATAAACTATAAATATCCTATCTTCTTTATGTTATAAATAATTTAACAAGGATCATGAAGCTTACCTCCGAATTCTCTGAGTGTATTTTTAATTTTATACGCATTCTTTCGATCGAATAATAACCGCCTCAGTAACATCTTTAAGCGTGTTGCGGCAGCCCTCAGCGTGTCTATTGCCGTATTGGGTGCCCGGGTGGGTATATAATGCTACTAAGCCCGTATGACCCCGTAAGAAGCGGAACATTAATTCTCGATTCGACAGTTTTGACCGAAGTGTGATAAAGCCCGTAAAACGAATGTATAGTTGTGTTTGTGCGGCATGCGTGTTCAAAAGTAAATAATCCCATCCGAGTCGCTAATCAAATAATTAGAACAAAATATTTCAAAAAGTAAAGCTATAAAATTTGCAGAGATTTTACTAGAATGTAAAAGACGGTAACTAAATACAGGAATGCGGGTAGTTATGTGTGCGAACGCTCAAACTCAATGCCAATTGTCGTAGGTATCCAGACCACTCGGACCAAAGACTACTCGGACTAAGACCAGTCGGACCAAAACAAGACCAGTCGGACCAATTAAATTATATTATAAGGCTAGACAATATGCTATTTATTTATTATTAAATCACAATACAAAGAAGCAAATAATTCTTATACGGAATTCTTATATTTAGAGTTGTTTGGTTCAATTTTGTGTACGTAAATAAATCAACGATTAGTTTTAAAATATCAATCTAATTTTTCTTTACTCTTGCAATGAGACTCGGTATGTCCAGACTTTTGACAGTTTCTACATATACGGGTATACTGTTCTTGTCTGATAGCCTAATTTTACTTTTTCCACATTCGCGGTATCCCCAGTGGTTTCATTCCGTTCTACACCACTAACCCCTGGGTTACTATATATGGGTGGGGTGGGGTGGAGACACGTTTTCAAGTTATCCGCCCTTGATGCGTTAATATAAACAGCACATAATAATACGAAGACTGGACGTTTATATGCCCCTTTTTAAACGTGACTACAAGTGTGGTTCTCGATATTTTGCGATTTGGAATACAATTATCAATTTATTCAAACAACACGTTATTATTAGTTCGAGTAGTCATATTAAAACACACACAATTATCAATTTATTCAAATAACACTTTATTATTGGTTCGAGTAGTCATATTAAAATAAACACAATTATCAATTTATTAAAATAACACTTTATTATTGGTTCGAGTAATTATATTAAAACAAACGCAATTATCAATTTATTAAAACAACATTTTATTATTGGTCCGAGTCGTCTTTCTGTTGGGTCCGAATAGTCTTTTTGTATGGTCCGAGTAGTCTATTTGTTTGGGCTGAGTGGTCTATCACTTGGTCAGACTGGTCTTGAACCGAGTGATCTTTGGTCCGAGTGGTCATGGATTCTTGTCGTAATTGTACTTGAATTTCCTATGCTGTCACCCCTAATACGAAATGATATCTTCCGCAGAGTGACGTAACCATCTTCCATATTGGTATTTTTCTCTGGGAAAAGTTTGTGATATTTCAATTTTTCAAGAGAGAACTTGTTTTCATCGTTGTGATAATTAGTTGTGCAATGGATTTTATCGAACGGGAGTTCATTACAAACACACAGGTAAGTTTATAATAACCAACGTTAAGTAGTTTGTTCATAATCGAAGAAATCCGTTTAAAATTTACGATGAATCAGACAGTAATTGCCTTTTAACTTTTAAGGTCAGGGTCAGTCCGGTTTACCTACTATAATACCGGTATTACTATTAGGCCTAGTATTACTACTATTAAGCCCTGTAGGCCTAAGGAGTAAAGAGTAAGCCTATCGCGGCAAAGACTGACACTTACTTCGTACAAATATTCTCCCAAACTCTGTCCTTCGATGACTTGGTCAGGCTGCTGCTCAATTTTCCTTTCTGAATTCCATAGTTCTGCTCAACGCCCTCAATCAAAACGCCGTGAGCTGCAGGGTTCCAATTTTGTTTACGCTTTTTAGGCTCCATTTCGGCTTTTGGCAGACTGACAGACGACGTATGTTACTATGTCACGCACTATGACGTAGCAAACAAAAACAAGTACACAAAAAATATGAAAATAGCATTTTATTCATAAATACACAGCTAAATCTTAGCGTATATATAAGGAATATATCTTTTCGTGTTTATGTTTCAAAAGGTAAGGATCAAATCAAACATTACGGCTATAATTGTCAACATTCAGACCATGGGAATGTTTACAGAAGTTTGAATGAAGTGACGCAACATGACGTCACGACCATTCGTGACGTATTTACAAAAAAACATATGAGAAAAAGTTAAGAAAAAACTTACTCCTGCCTTTGTGAAATCGGCGTAAATAATTCGTATCTTTTTCGTAAGTTTTTCTTAATGTAGTTTTTTTTCTTAAAGTTACGAACTTTTGTGAAACTGCCCCAAGGTATATTAAAATGGGAGGCTACATGGGGGGAATGGCCAGGTTTTTTAAGCTTTATATTACTTCTGTGCTTAAAAGTCGAGTGCTGAAAGGAGTAATGGTTTGGCCTACATATTGCATACTACATATTGCCATTGGAACTCTGTTTGCTGTGACATATGCTATAACATTTATATGTCATACTGGATGAAAACCTACTATGAACCATTACCTAATAAACCAGATATTTCATGCAGATTCATAGATGATATGTGGGCTTTATCTTCTCTCCCACTAGAAGAATCCAAAGATCAAATTTACTGTAGATATAAATAGCAACTCAGTTAATTTCCTAGATGTAAAAGTTGTCAAAGAAAAAGAAAAGTTAGAGACAAATCTATATTCCAAGAAAACAGATTGCCATCATTATCTTCCTCCATCAAGTTGTCATCTCAAACACACCTTTAACGCTATCCCTTACAGTGGTGCTCAACGATATCCCAAGAAAATTATTCTAAAGGCATTTAAACGCGCAGATCAGAAAACCAGGACTGAATTGTTGACCTACCAATCAAAGACCGATACTAATGTGAACATTATTCCATGGACAACCACCTTTGACCCTCGACAACCTCACCTTCACCAAATGATTAAAGACCGAAGTATTTTAGACAAGTTCACATATGTGACCCACCGTGTCTAATTGCGTCCCATGTTGCATAATGTCATTTTTCAGTATAGGTCAAAATAGGTAAGAAACTGCCATCTGACCGATTTTGAGTTTTCACCAAAAATCAAGTCAAAGGCATAAAATTTTGTACAAACCTGTTTTTACAACATAATAATAATCCCATAGTTCATTAATATGCGATTACAAAGAATTTCGACCACGTTTTTCTCAAATTAATGTATTTATGATTTTGCATCTTCAACATGCCCTTGCTCGGCCAATTTTTGTCTGATTTACATGAAACTTGTTTTATTTTGAAGGGAATTATGTGTAGGATCACCTCATACCAATATCTAAAATAACTAAATTTGTGACATGTGACTGGTTTTGCCATGGTGGGTCACATATGACAAAAATTATGAATAGCAGCAAAATAATAATAGCAAAGAGAAAGAACCACACTATTGGCAATATCTTGAAAGAAAATAAGTTGAGAACTTCTGACACTAGTAATAACCATATTAAGGACAAAATTTCATACAGATGTCAACCTTCTTACGAAAATTATGCAAATCATGCGTAACTATGTGTAATAATCAAGAACTAACCAGTAAAGACATGAAATCATTCAAGATTAGAGACTGTCAACTGTGCCAGTTCTTATCTTGTATTGTCTAACATGTAAAACCTGTAGTATGCAATATGTAGGCTAAACCATCACTCCTTTCAGCACTCGATTTAAGCACAGAAGATTATAAAGCTTAAAAAACCTGGCCATTCCCCCCATGTAGCCTCCCATTTTAATATACCTGGTCATGATTTCGTGTGAACCATAGTACAAAAAATTCCTGATAAAGATTAGAAAATATTGAACACAGCAGAAAGTCTGTGGATTCATAGATTTGATTCAGTTTGGCCTAACGGTTTAAATGAGTTAAATCCAGGGGGTTTCAAAATCATTCATAATCATGCATAATTTTTCCTTCCTTGTAAAATTTTACTTAAGTTTTAGTTAAGCTAACTTTTCATGTTATGTATTTAAGTCTATGCCGTCATCATTCCCACGATGTCATAACTTCCTATGATGCCATAACTCACTTCCAATCATTTTGTATTTAGTTCTTCATCCCTGAAGAAGTTAGTATTTTTACTGACGAAACATTGGATAAAACAATGTTTTTTTTTTATATTGTATTCTATTAATTATTTTATATCAACTTATCTGAATATCAAATGCATCATTTTGTGTCCCCTAGTGGGGCTGCATGCGAATAAAAGCAATCTTTTGTGCAAATCAGGGACGATAATCGAGCATATGTGTCAATATCGCAATTAACCAAGATCTTTTGGATACAAACATATATTTTAAGTTTCATTAAAATAGAATTTATGTCCCTTAAAATTAATACTCAGTTTTCATTACATGTACGGTTTGCTTTATTTACTAGAGTTCATTAACTATAATAATGTACATCCAATCACAAAAGAAATATTTTGGTCAAGTTTAGCCAATCAAAAGGCAGATTTATCTAACGGAAGAAAACAATTACCTCCCTTTGAGCAAAATTGGTATTATTTTTTGGCCATTTTCCATGAGAAATGTCCTCCCATGCATGAGATGAACAGAAGTGTTGTGTTTAAATATGTTGAGTTTCACAGCAAAACCAGGTTATTTGACATATCTGGCTAACAGACAGGAGAGGATTAAAACTCACATATAGTTTCTGATTGAATCTGGCAGTATAACCACACATCGCTGTCCTTCTTTTAATCCAAAGTCCTTGATGGCTTGTATAGCACTGTAAACAACTGAACCACTACTGCCACCTGTTCATTAGAAAAAACACAGAAGATTGGTTGTCAGGTGTCGAAACATATGCCCACAGGCCACACGCCCAACTAGATTGAACATACAACCCATTGTCACAGGTTGGAGTAATAAGCAGGTAAATAAACCCTGGATGATACTTTCATACTGATTGGATGGTAACTTTTGACGATAAGAACGTCCGCAAGGTTCAGTAAATGAAACAAGGAACCATAACTCTAGAAGAAAAGATGGAAATTGTTGAAATTAAATAGATAATATCTGATAGTCTGTGGACAGACGGTGGCAACAGCAACATAAAAACTCATTTTCATGTGGGCGTATAAAAATACAAGCAGTTGCCATGCAAGATACACCCACATTTTGCAATGTGGACAGAGAACAAGCTAAACAGAAAAGCGATTTCTCGTACAATAAGGAGCCATAATAAAAATTGTGACCTCTCTCTAGAGGATCCCCAACCTTGGTCGGGCAGTTTCTGTCCGATTTGAACTTCACTGTCACTATAGTGTAACGGTGATATATTTAAAAGGTTTTTTTAAATTGGATAAAAATTGTGACCTCTAGAGGACAAGCTAAAAACACAATCAGGGGCAATCATTCATTTAAGTTAGGGTACGATACATGCAAATGTCAAAAGGAACTGTATATTTCAACACGGTCGATCATGAAATTCTACTAGAGCAACTCCAGTTCCATTTCGGCATCTCAGACACAGTGCTGCACTGGTTCAGATCTTACCTGACCCACAGAACACAAACTATACCCGTCAACGGAATTCAATAAAATGCCACTATCCTAAAATATGGAGTGCCACAAGGGTCCGTTCTTGGACTGTTATTGTTCACTACATATACTTCTCCCTTAAGCGACATTATTTCAAATCATGGACTTGACTTCCACCTGTACGCTGATGATATGCAGCTTTATATCGCACTGAAACATTTGAAAAAGCCAAACTGGAAAACTGTGTGGCTGAAATTCGTCACTGGATGAAATCAAACCTGTTAAAACTAAATGACGATTATATACTGAACTTATAAAACTTGGTACAAAACATATTTTAAATCAAATCGGTGACGACCGTGTTAATATTGGAGACTGTGCTATATCCGTCAGTAAAACTGTTAAAAACCTTGGAGTAATAATAATAATAATAATAGACTTTATTTAAGAAGGGTTGAAGATTAGGCTATAATAGCCTTTCTAACATCCTGCCCTTCATAGAAAATATATTACAAAAGATATAGACTGATGCATTAAATAACACACCACAATAATTTACAACAGAGGAAAATATATACAAATCAATGTATTGTTTCTTACCTGGTTTGTAAATAGGACTATCCAAGAAAAAAGAAGAAGTAATTCCCACATTATATATAACAAATGATGATTCATAAATCAAATAACACTAATGCAAATAGGAACATGCACCTGCTTGCACCCACGGTGATATTGCCCATTGTCGAACATCTTCTGATTCGATCAAACTCTGTGTAACAAGCTTGTTTTTGCATACAAAATACCGACCTATGACCTAATACTGACAACATGCATTCATATAGGCGCTTGTCGAACATCTTCTGATTTGATCAAACTTTGTGTAACAATGTAGTCTTTGCATGCATGCATAAATAGAGAGCACGGGCTGAGCCTGGCTCCATGTGTTGTCAACCTTGACTACCTTGTTCTATTCATAAAAGCATGCAATCACCTTTGGAAATCACTTTGGTGTCCACTCTAGGGCGCCGTCCTCTCTAAAACAACTTAAATTTTTTTTTTTTTTTTTCAGGCGCTTTATTTGAAATGAATTTCATAATAAGTGGTATTAATTTGTGATTTTGTTTCTACTGTTAATTCTGCTTAATTGTCAGGGCTTCAAAATCTAAAAACTTGACGAAAAACAAATTGTTAATTATGGATACGGGTTTAGAATAATGTTATAGCATGATTTATTTGTTAAAGGCATGTTAATACAGTATGAACATTATTTATTACAGGTATTTTAAACCATGGCTTATTAAATATGTGTCAATACATACCAAAAATAAATCACATAAAACAGATGAATAATACAACGTAGAATTGAAAAAAAGATAGGTTGCCAGGCAATGAAACATACTCCCACAGCAGCTAAATCGTCCGAGCGGTCGACAAGGGTTGTTGCATATTTATTCCTTTGTAGGTAATTGGGGGCTTTTACAAGACAGTTCCATACAGATCAGATTATAATTTTTGCCGTTTGAGGGTTCACAAGGTTCTACAAACTGAAACAAGGGTCTCAACTCTAGAAGTAATCTACAGAAATTGATGAAATTTGACAGGCTTTTTTGTTTTACTAATTTAAATAATCCATATAAATTTCATACAGATCAGATGATCACTTTTGTCATGCAAATGTTCACAATGTTCACAATCGCCATAACTCTAGAAATTATTGATGGAAATTGCTGAAATTCAATAGACTTGTTTCACAAATTTAAATGATGCATATAAATTTCATACCTATCGGATGATAACTTTCATCAATCAAGCATTAACAAGGCTGAACAAAGTGAAACAAGGGCCATAATTCTAGAAGTAATTATTGTAAATTGCTGAAATTCAAAAGGCTTCCTGGTTTCACTAATTGAAATAATGCATATAAATTTCACAAAGATTGGATGATAACTTTCAGGGTTAGAGCGTTCACATGGTTCAATAAAGTGAAACGAGCCATAATTCTAGATGTAATAAATTTCATACAGATCGGCAGATGACTTTAGAGGTTAGAGTGTTCACAAAGTGCAACAGGGGCCATAACTCTAGAAGTAATATATGGAAATTGCTGAAATTCAATAGGATTCTTCTCTTTACTAATTTAAATAATGTATATAAATTTCAGAAAGATCGGATGATAACTTTTGGCGTAAGAGCGTTCACAAGGTTCAATGAAGTGAAACAAGGGCCATAAACTCTAGACATAATAAACGAAAATTGCTGAAATTCAATAGACTTCTTCATCTCACTAATGTAAACCATATATATCAAATTCAAAACAATCGAATAATAACTTTTGGAGTTAGAGCTTTCACAAAAAATTGTGAACGACAGGGGCGAGGGCAATATACGTCCACATTTTTATGTGGGTGTATAAAAAGTATTCAAGTATATGCATAAATGTTTCCCTTTTGTCTAAATCCCATTTATAACTGTTTGATCTCCTTTTTCAGAGCAAAGACTAGTTATTTTGATCGATACTAGAAACCACTTAAGGCTATTATATAATCAGAGAAGATATTTTATGTATTATAAAAAATAAATGTACATTTGGTTTATAGTACACATTAGTTACAATGAAATTGTAGATCAATTTTATTTCCCCTAATAAAGTCTGGCAATAAGCAGTTGTTATATAACACCTAGGTCATCATTGTTCCAAGTTGGTTATCAGCGAAGAGTAGTTTGTGCTCAGGTGGCAGTTTGCTGATTATAATTAGAAATGTAAATAACTACTATGTGAACTGGAAATTCCTTTTAATAATTTAACAAATCCAAGAATAAGAACAAACAAACAACGAATAATCCATTAATATTATTTGAAAAAACATCAAATTTCCAATAAGACAATATATTTTGGGAAATATGATGTAGAAAAATACTTGTAACATAGTCCTATAATTTAATATCAGTCCACGTACACCATGACAATGCCGGCATAGTAGCGCATGTAATAGCCATGCATCTCTCCTTTTCAATGTCATCACATATTTCTAGGCCTTGTAATATTTCTTGATTTACTATGTTGAACCACCAAACATGCAAGTAGACGAGCTGTAGTAGTGATGTGTTGATAGTTTGATAGCTGTATAATAAGTGACTCGTTTTACATCAGTTACGTCACACTAAAAGCCCTCATTTACAACCATTCCTTCCCATTTTGTTGGCACTTGGTCACGGATAAGGGTACAAGGTGAATCTTACAACACTTCAGGCAAGATCATACAGGGACCAAACATCTAAAATCAGTATGTACAAATATTCCATGAACAGTATATACAGGGTAAAATCTACAATAAAATTAAACACTAGCTACAGGGTAAAACCTCCAATAAAACTGAACACTATCTACACAGTAAAATCATCTAAACTCTGGGTGGAGATAACAGGCATAGTCGTATTGGACTCTTCATCCGGAATGAAAACATGCCACGCTTGTCCAGTCAATTAACCAGCTCAAACCGATCCGTCAACTAGAAGTCTGTCATCTTCTATAACACCCTTGCAGCAATAACAAGATACAGATCCTCCCAAGGGGGCAACAACTTCTTACTCTTGAAGGGTTTGGTAATGTTAAGTTGATGCAGCCACAAAAACCTTTCTGCTGACGAGAACAGTTTTAAATCTGAATCCAATGGATCTGCCCTTGAAGGTAAGCGTTACAGAGATCTTATTCTACTTACTGTTGCTTATTTCATTATCCGTATAACTGGGGACCATGTAAAGACCAGTCATCTCCGACGCATCCAACACCATGGAAAAGTTGATACACCCTCGAATTGCTCCAATCTTCTTGTGCAACAACACTGGTTCAGAACTCCAATCGGCATGAGACGGCTCAACATTTATGGAAGCTGTCTGGACATAAAATTTGGTAGCAGAATCTGGAGCCACCACATGTTTAATCAACTCAGAGTTAGCAAGATGTGAACCCTGTTATAAACAAACAAAGCAATTAGAGTCGTCTACAACACTGGTACAGGTTTTCTTTGAAATCACTTCCCCAACTGAAAGGGTACAATTCCATGAGTTAACGACGCATTTATTCTTTTCTAAGAAAGAGCTTTAAATGAATATTGTAACACCAGATAGCAAATAACCAGAGATCAGCTTAGACCCGAAACCTTTTAGTCCAACTGCTTTGCCTAGTGCCACCTTCTCCACCCCATTCCATAGCAGCGGTATTAATCACTGTATCAATTTGCCTCCATAACAACTGGACATGTAGAATTAACCT